GGAGGGAAGAAGAAGCTTCACTGGTGGACACACCTCCTGCACAAAGCAGGTGTGTGTGGCGCTGCGCGGCATTGGCAGCTAGGAAGATTGCAGGTGAGCCAGGTACAGTTGATGAGCTTGTGGCAGTGGCGACGCGAGCCGTCAAGGCGACGCGCACATCTGCTGACTCAAGCAAAACGCCGCTAATCACGGCCCAAATCTCGTCAGTACCACCCCCCACCCCCCCCCCCCCCTGCCGCGTGAAATCGCATTAGGGTAGTACGCGACACTAGTCTTTGTCATCAGGGCGAGTACACCAGGCCTGTCTTAAAAATCAGTGTTAACAAAATGAACACTTTTTCGGCTAAGGGTGCCTCAAAAAACAAGTTTTAAAAACAAGGGTGATCACCTAAACCCACCCTTATAGTAAGGGCCATAAGGGTGTTTTACCCTGATATCGAGAGGCCTGCCGGGGGGGTTATGGGTGCATTGACCCGCTACTTAACAAGCCCTTTTATCCTAATGGTCTAGTGGCTGGGATTCTGACATGGTATCAGAGTGAAGGTCTCGGGTTCGAATCCCAGTGTGTGCACTTCGGGCATCCCAGTGCGGGGGGGGGGGGGGGGGGGGTGTCGAGATTCTGACACTGCTGGCGCGGCCGTGCCGACCTACGCTTCGGGACTAGCCCGAGCCTCGCTTCCAGCATAGCACTAGCTAGCTCGCATGCACCGCATTACCGTTTGCATGTTTCGCGTATAAATGTTCGCTCATGCCTTCGCTCACATTTTGTACTCGTATGACACCTTAGTGCAATTCTCGCTACTTCGATTCATTGCACCCGAACAAAAGGTGTAATGATACAATCTTTTGCACCTGGACTGGTCGTGTATTTGCAATTCAATCTCCACCTTTTCCTCTGCTGATGGCGGGATGCATAGGACTGACGTGGAACCAAACAGAAGTCGATGCAGAAGGGGGGATAACAGGAAGGAGAAAATATCCCTGAGGGGAAACTCATTTGCGGCCTCCTATTTGCGACCTTCACGTTTCTACCGCCCAAGCTGCGACGCATTTGCGGCCTCCTATTCGCTGCGACCTGGATGACGTCGACTCAATTCGGGCATGCAGCGAATGGGTGAAGCCCTTCCCGCGAGTAACAGCCAGCACACGTGAGATTCGCCACAGGGCTCCCGACACGAATCGAGCTCTGGACCTGTGATATCTGCTTGGCGCTTCTCTTTCTAAAACCCCAAACCTGACATTATCCAACATTCCCATACAGATCGCTCTCTTGGCAAGCCATCCCAGCCTCTCCCATACTCCTCCCACGCACCCTTCCAAGCTTGCCATCTCAAACTTCGTCCCCTCACATTTGACACGAAGAGGTGCTCCCTGTTCGCATCTCTCCGTGTTTCTTTGTGGACGATACTTGCGTGCGAAGGACGCATTTATCGCCTCTAGTCCCTTAACAGCATTCTCCGCGCCCTTTCATTTCCCCTTTCCTCTTCAACGCTCCGTCATTGCGATCTGCGCTCGACACTTGACTTGGTTGGATGGCGTTTTCCTCGACGGCCCAGGTCGGTGCGCCTGTTCGAGGGACCGCCGCCGCCAGCAGCGGCTTCCTTGTCGCCAGAAACTCCAGCAGTGGTGGGAAGAAATCATGCCGCTTACCATCATGGGTTAGCCGAATCTCCGCGTCTTTTGCCGGAGCGCGCCTCGTATCAACATCGAAGCTCCACCCGCTATTATCACACACGCCCGTCAAGAAAAGCGGATGGCAGAAGAAGGGGCGCTCGTCGAGTTACCGCCACCGATCGGTAGCGGAGGTTTCGGGGACGGAGGGCGGGATAATGGAGCGATCCATTAGTCGCACCCCATTGAACGGTGCTGTTCGTTCCTCGTCTTCTGCACGCATTCCCGAGTACGATCTCTCTCTTGTGTCCGGACCGCTCTCAGACCAGCCGCAAGAATTGGCGGCGGCGGCATCGTTAACCACCCGGACCCAGTCACAACAAGACGGAGGGCGCACGGGCAAGGCCGCCAACGGTGCCGTTCGAGCCGACGCTACTAACGAGGACAAAATTTCCAGCGCGAGGGAGAGCACACTAACGCTCACAGCGGAGGAGGAAGCGGCGGCGGGCGAGGAAATTCTGCGGGAGGTGAACGAGGGCGACGTGCAGCAGGTGCTGGCGTCGCTGGAAGACCGTTTCCTCGCAGAGCCGGGCGCGTCTCTCGACACTATCGAGGCCAACGCGCGGGTTTTGCTCGCGGTGGGCGCGCGCAGGGGGCAGGTGTTGCGCATCTTCCGCGCGCAGCCGGAGCTCGCGGGGCGGGAGTACGGCTCCGCCGTGCGGGATAAGGCGGAGCTGCTCTCCGCGTTCCGCATCGCGCCCGCCGCATTTCTCAAAGCGCTTTCGCGATCGCTTGACTGGCTGACGACGCCCGCGGCGCACGCTGCGAGTGTTCTGACTTTTCTCGACAGGGACTTGGGGATTAACAATCTCGCTAGAGTCGTAGCCGTCTGTCCCGACGTCCTTTCTCAACCCATAGACGGCTTAGCCGATACAGTCACTTTTCTCCGCACGGACCTTTCTCTTGGAGCGGAGGTTGGCGCAGCGCTTGAGCGCAACCCCGCGCTGCTGGGGGCGGGGAACGGCGGAGGGCGCGCGGACGTGGTGCGCAAGCTGGAGGCGCTGCGCTCGTTGCTCCGCCTTGATCGCTCCGCAGACGTGCTTCCCCTAGTGCAGCGCTCCCCGCCCCTTCTCTCCGCGAGTGCTGACGTGGCTCGCGACACATACAAGCAGCTCTCCGCGGTACTCGGCGAGGAAGGCGCTGCGGCAGTCTCTCTTGCCCGGCCGCAGATCCTCGCGCTGTCTGACACCTCAGTGCGGGAAACTCTGACGCAGATTGCGCGGAGGTTCGGCGGTGCCGGACCTGCAGCCTCGGTGCTTGTCTCGGCGAACCCGTCTCTGCTTCGGCGGCGGTGGGACAGGACGGCGGGGAAGCTGGAGTATGTGACAGAGGTGATGGGGCGCGACCTAGCGGAGGTTGCGGCGTGGCCTGCGGTGCTGTCGTGCAATCTGCAGACGAGAATTAAGAGGCGATATGACGCGCTGCGGGCGGCGGGGCTGGACGCGAAGGAGCCGCTTCGGGTGCTGTTCGGGTGTAGCGATAGCGTGTTCGAGAGGCGGTTCGACGTTACGCTGCCGAAGCCCACCAAGGGAAAGAGGTGAGCATTGGAAATTTTTGAAATAACGATGACGATGGAAACGTAGCACGTACTGAGGGGGCTAGGCACAGGGAGTAAGATCCTAGTGGCTGCCCATGTGGGTGCGCTAAGCATAAAGAGACGAGGGGAAGACGAGTGGGAATCTTCAAGTGAAATTGCCGGTTGGTGAGGGTTGAGGCATTGAAGATCTTCGGGTGAGCGGATGTGGGCGGTGTGTTGCGTGTAGGATGCGCGGGGAGGTGTGGGTCCGGGGTAGGCGAATGGTGGCGGCGAGGAGATGCGAGGTGCATGTGCGCATAGCAACTGGGCGCTCTGAAGCGTGCGGCATGGCCGGCGCGTTATCTCTCAATCTTGCCACTCCCCTCCCCACCTCCCCGCCTTCCTCTCAACCCCCCACCTCCCTTACTCGTCGCTACTCCCGCCCACCTCTCGTCTTACTCCACAATCCATTTTCTTTTCCCCTTTCTCCATGCTTGCCTTCCATGGGCCTCTGTGCGTTCTGTGCTGCGATGTACGTGTTGGGCTGTGCTTTCTGTTGCAGGGGGAGGAAGCCCAAGACATGAGCACGGAGCACGGTGCACCTGATCTCTCTAGGTTAACACTGCACAGAGCTGTAGCTGTGTTGTTTTTGCTGGGGTGCCAAGATGATCCCTCCCTAGGTTGACATGGTCCACAACCCATGCGTCCGCTCGTCCCAGGAACACACTTGTTTCCATGTGCTCCTTTCCCAAGTATGACAGGCCCCGCTCCTGACGTACATACAAGTGGAATGGGTCAAGAACCTGATGGGTGGTTGAATGGCTGCTGCCATGTGCATTTTCCTGCTCCTGTATGCTGTGCTGTCTGTTGGATTCTTAAACCCATGGTGCAGTACCCTTTGGTTGGCACGTCTCATTGGGTGTAAAGCAACTGGGCTGGTATGGGGCTGGTTAGTGGAGATAGGGATGGGTTTGCATAGAGAGCAGGCTGAGACCCTGAAAGAGATACCGTATTATCCTATGATGGATTGCCAGCATGCAGCTGGCGTTGGCTGGTGTGATGGGTCTTTGCTTTTAAGATTGTTGCAGGTTGACTCAGGGATTTAGTCTTGACATGACTCAGGGATGTATGTCATGAATTCAAAACGTTGTCAAGTGTTTGTACGTGCTAAAGATGTTGTGGGGCTCGGTTAACTAAATATTTTGTCTTAAAAAAAATGGTGACTTGAGAAAGATCTTTCAGCGACCGTTCTCATCATCCCCTCCCCAACATTACCGTGGATTTGAAGTTAGGCTCGTTCCATTAGAGCATGTTTCAGCTTTTAGTCAGATTGGGAGCCTTCTATAACGCTCTGTCCACTCGTTCTCCATCCATTACAGAAGTAACGAATGGTAGGAAGATTCCCACACTTCCCCGCAGAGACCATGATGCACATCGAAGGTGTGGCTGCTGCATTGTGCACCCCAAGGTGCGGGATTGCACTCCAATTAAGGACGCTAAACATACGTTCCTGTCCTAACCCATGCTCGTGGCAGAATGCTAAGTACTACTGTATACTATCCTACTGTTATTGTCATGGACGCTCAGAAAACCGGCACCCATTTGCCGCACGGACAAGGTGGCAATAGGATGAGAGAGAGCCGAAGGAAATGCCAGATGCGAGACCACGTTCGGTCAACAGCTCGATCGACCAAGGAGTTACGAGTTCCGCAGTGCCTTCCCAAAAAAAGGAGTGGCGTAGATCCACTCACATCCACGCAGACAAGCGGTAGCAGCGATCCCTATGCCACCAGCGCTGCTTCGCGTTCATGGCTTACGCGGCGATAGCAACCTCCGCGTCCAACGACGGCACGGCAGGGGAGGCAGCGGCATCCACCTTGGAAATGTCTGCGACTGTTGCGACGTCAGCCAACTCTGCTTCAGCCAGATCGGCGACTGATGAGTCGTCCGACGAAGACGCTTCCAGGGAAGGCTCAGCAACGCTTTCAGCCTCCTCGCTCTCCGGAACAGGTTCAATCGAGGACTCGGAGACTGGTTCGGGCTCTGGGACAGGCTCTGGCTCAGGTTCGGGAGCGAGGGCTTCTTCGCGGAGCGAGCGGAGTTTGTCAAGAATCGCCTTGCGCGCGTTGATTCTGTCCGAGGCGAACGCAGCGTCAGTCGTGGCAGCTGAGGCTACAAGCGATGCGAGCAAGGCCGAGCCACTGGTGATGACTGCTCGCCGCGAGATACCCTGCAATGGTTGCAAGATAAAAGCATACAAGAACTGGAGGTTAGGCAAGAAACGGACTTGGAACCGGTCGAATGTGCGAACAGACGAGATTGACGATTGAAGTGACAAACGAAGACAATTCTTGATGAAAGATTGAAGATTGGTTGGCACCCACCTCGTTATCAGCGGAAGCCGTGACAGCGATCCTTTTGGCATACGCACGATCGGAGGTGCTGGTGGTGACCTTGGATGTAGAGGCCACAGGCAACCCAAATATGCCACTTAGCTGGACCATACGAGCAGTCTGGATCGCCATGGCTACGATTTCCTGCGGGTCACAGGAGGATTGAGGCTTCTGGGGTCAAGTCAAGAGACAGCTCAGTTTGACAGGAGGGAGGACATTGGAGTCCAAAAGTAGACAACTAACATATGTGTCCCACAAACCAGAAGCCGTGGTGCATCACAATTGGGACGATGCGCCGCGATCATCCCCATCATGAGAATTGAGCACACATCGGGTGCGATCCCACGGCCCACATCAGAGTTTCGTCTCTCGCTGTGATCTGAAAGAGTTTGCCAGCATGGCATGCTCGATTGGTTGTTACCATGGTCTGTCAGCTGACGTGGATGGTGGATGGTGGTAACGGGGCGCCTGAAGAACCCAACGGTTCTCAACTCCAACACGTGTATCACGTTTCCGAGCCACCAATCGAACAATTCGCGCGCCAACAACTTGTACGATACAGCATTGCCTTTGAACAGAACGTACCTGGTTCTGTTTATATCGGGACACAGACTGACATTAGTACACTAACACAATGGCATACCGGTGTATTGCTTGAACAAAGAATGGATGGCTGATGTGTTTTAGAATGTATTGATTGATTGTACAGGAGTTTCCTGTATTATTCAAATATAACTAGTGTACACACCGTAAAAATAATGCACTTATTCAATTGTTAGAGGTACCATATGCGTGTATGCATTCAATTAGCTCAATAAATGGCTCTTAGAAAGAGCCATACACACTGCATATTGGGAGCGCCCAACCACCTTATATATTTTATCGTGGAACTTGGAGATGCCTGTTGGAGAAACTTCGAGTTCACCCTCATATGGAAGCGGGTGAACTGGAAGAAGCCCCTTCACCTCCAGTTTCCTCGCGAAGGATCTCCCCCGTCAGCACAAAAGGTCCACCAGATATTTTCTCCTAAGTCCACGTGGCCCTAAACTCAAACCCAAAGCCCCACCGAGAAGTCCCACATAGCTCAAGGCGGCCAGGGATGCTCGCCACCAGAGCAGAGCGGTGTGTCGCTCGCACCGTCATTGAAATGGCCAATCAAAACAAAACCCGCCCTTCCCAAACCCTTTCGCGTTGTCCTCTCAGCGACAGAATTGCAACAATTTTCCTTCCCAGTTACCAACGGATACCTTCGCTAACCGCCCCCCATCTTTGACACTCGGCAGCTAGCAGCAAGTCCAACTGGGTGACTTGCATTGCGAAAAGTATAATGCTTTAGCTGTTGAGTCAGAATAGCTCCCTTTTCACGAGTTGATTATTTCCTGTCAGCTCGTTTCCTTCGTCAAATTTCGGCCTTTCTTCCTTCTACTGTCAGCTACAGCAGAAAATGGCCAAAACAGACACGAAGAAGGTATTTGATGTTGCATTGTTTTCCGACTGGCCTTCCGGCTCTTCGCTGTCCATTAACGTTTTTGTTTTCGTTTGACGTGTTTCTTATTATTGTCCCCGTTTCATCGCTTATTCAGGTTGTAAAATCAGCAGAGAAAAGCAAAGGTTAGTACGAACGCAAGCTCCCTTGTCCCCTTTACACGTCTACGTTTAAGTCACCAACCCCCAACGCCGTCTTTTTAGCTAAATCATTATTTTTGGGCCTGCAGTGAAGAGAGCTCGCGATGATACCGCTGTCGAGGAGCCAGCCAAGGCTACGACGCCCGCGAAGAAGGTGAAGAAGGCCGTAGCCTCACCCGCCGCCAAGGTCGTCGCGAAGAAGCTTGAGAAGAAGGCCACGCCAGTGGCGAAGAAGTCTCCTGCCCCTAAGGTACAGCTCACTGCATCCTACATTGTTCGCCGCCCTGTGCCTGCTCGATTTCTTGCATTTAGCTGGCTCTCGTTTACTGGATTCCCTTACGACGTGTCTTAGTTCTTCCGTCGCTTAAAAGGAATTGGTTAAGTCTTAAGCCGCATTCTTACCCTCTGTTCTTATTGCAGGCGGCAGCCAAGCCTGCAGCGAAGCCTGCCGTCAAGGCGGCAGCGAAGAAGCCGGCGCCGAAGAAGGCTGCTAAGGAGAGCAGCGACAGCGAAGACGAGGACGAGAGCGAGAGCGAGAGCGAGGAGGAGGCTCCTGCTAAGCCCGCCCCTGCCAAGGTGAACATATTTTTTGGTTAACCATGGCCGATCTGAACGTTCCGTGAGCGTTCGCGTGGTTTTTCTGAAACCCGAAACCTCATAATTATTTTGCCGTTGGGATGTTTCGGGTCTATACAGCCTGCCGACAGCGACACCCTAAGCGAGGAAGAGTCTAATGAGTCCTCAGGGGAGGAGGCTCCTGCTAAGCCTGCCCCTGCCAAGGTGACCATACCTTCTGGGCGTTCTGAACGTTCCGTAAGCGTCTGCGTGGTTTTTCTGAAACCCGAAACCTTCTTATTATTTTTCCGCTGGGATGTTTCGGGTTTATACAGCCTGCCGACAGCGACACCCTTTGCGAGGAAGAGTCTGACTCGTCTTCAGAGGAGGAGGATCCCGCAGCCAAAGTGATCGTCGCGAGGGTTCAACGAGGTTTTAGCGCGAATTTTGCGCGTATAGATAGTGGGGGTCTGTAATTCGGGTATACCAAACTACACTTATTTCGTAGACCGAACTTGGGTGAAGGGCTGGGCGTAGGTGATTAACTAAAATGTTCTCGTCTATGTTGTGCAGGCCCCCGCAGCCGCCGCTGCTGCTAAGAAGAACGACTCTGACACCAACAGCGGGGAAGAGTCTTCCGAAGAGGAATCTTCCGAGGAGGAAGCGAAGCCCGCTGCCGCCGCTGTGAACGGAGCTAAACCCATGGAAGAGGACAGCGACGACGATGATGATGATAGCAGCGAGGACTCTGACGAGGACGAGAAGAAGCCCGCGGCTGCTGCGAAGAAGCCTCCCGCCAAGGCTGAAGAGAGTGATGACGAGGAGGACGATAGCGAGGATGAGGATGAGAGCGACGACGAGGACGACGAGAAGGAGAAGGCTGCCGCTGCTAAGAAGGCGCCGGCTGCTGCCGCTGCCAAGAAAGACGATGACGATGATGATGATGATGAGGATGATGATGACGAGGAGAGCGACGAGGATGATGATGATGATGATGAGGAGGAGGAGGAGGAGGAGGAGAAGCCTGCTAAGAAGGTCAAGGCTGAGGTGAGTTCCATCCGGTTGTTTGGGGTTTAGCTCGTTCGCGATTCTTCGGGTGGGGTAAAGGTGACATTGATTAAGTCCTCAACCATGGGCGCGGCAAGCAGAGTAATTTAACTCACCGCGCTATCGCTACTGAATTGCAGTAACGCATTTGCCTTTCTCGCCGTGAACAATCCGTCCCTCCCACCCAAACCCTCCCTCCCTTTCCCCCCTCCCTCTTCCCCCCCGCTAACTTGCTTTCTCCATCCATTTGCCGGTGTCGCCCTTTTCGCGCAGACCCCTGTGAAGGCCGCCGCGCCCGCCGCTGCGCCCACCACGCCCTCGACTCCGGGAGAGGAGGAGATCACGACGCTCTTCGTGAAGAATCTCCCCTTCTCCGCCGACCAGGACACCATGTAATGCGCCGCCGCTACCCGTCTCCCGCTGCACGTTTCCCGCTGCCCGTCGTCTCCTGTCTAATGCCCATTGCCTAGTCTCCCGACACGTAACCGCGAGTTTCCTCTTCCATCTCCATCCGTAACTTTCCGCATCGAAGAATCGGGCCTAATCTTTCATTACCTCCGCACACTTGGGCTCGCCCGGACCGCTCTCCCTCCCCCGCAGCGCGGAGTTCTTCGCGGACTGCGGCGAGGTGTCGGACGTGCGCATCGCCATGGACAAGGAGACGGGCCGCGCGCGCGGGTTCTGCCACGTGGAGTTCGCAACTGGTGACGCCGCCAAGAAGGTCAGAGGCTACTCGCTCGCTTGTCGCTCGCTTTCCTCTGCGCTCGATGCTCGCTACGAAGCTTTACCTCTGTTTTGTTTTTAATTCTCTTTCCCCTTACACTCCCACTGCTTCTCACGCTCCTTCCGTCAATTGCTCTCCCTTCCGTCTCCCCTTCCCCCTACCCGCGCCTGTTGGTCCGCTTCCCTCAACCCCAGGCGCTGGAGAAGAGCGGTCAGGAGCTCATGGGACGCGCGCTCTTCTGCGACCTCGCGGGCGGCTCAGGCGGCCCAGGCGGGGCCCGTGGCGGGCGCACGCCGCAATCTGGCGGCGGCCGATTGTGAGTGCATAGGGCACGGGAAGATTTGGCGTGGGGTTTTGTGGGGCCCGATGGTCCTGGGTAAGGAAAGCGTTGAGGTTACCAACGGGTAGAGCTCGGACTAACGCAATGGGTGCATTTGCTCAAAAGCCTTACGCTCGAAACGACGCGCATGTAAAGAGAAGCGTGTTGACGGGTTTTGGCATCGTGATCAGCATAGCATAGTGGTTGGGTTGGTTGCTGTTATGCCTGTGCGTGCAACATGTGCGTGTGGTGGTTGGGTTGGAGCGAGGCCGCGATAGGAATGTGAGGGAGCTGGTCTGCTTTCCTTGTGTGATAGTTTCGCTCCCCCTCACTCTCCCCATCCGTCTGTTACCCTCTCTCTCTCTCTCTCTCTCTCTCTCTCTCTCTCTCTCTCTCTCTCTCTCTCTCTCTCTCTCTCTCTCTCTCTCTCTCTCTCTCTCTCTCTCTCTCTTTCTCTCTCATCGCGTGGGCAGTGGTGGCCGCGGCGGTGGCGCGGGTGGCTTTGGCGGTGGCGGAGGGTTTGAGCGCGCGCCACGTGACGACAGCAACACGGTGTTTGTGAAGAACTTCGACCGCTACCAGGACGAGGACACGGTGAGACTGCAGGGGGGAGGGAATCCTTGAGATGCCAAGGGGGGTGAACGATGCAAGGCAGCAGGGGGTTGGCAGTGAACGGGAGCGGGGGTAGGCGGTGGGAGGGGGAGTGGGTGTAGGCAGTGCAGGTGCACACTTTCATCCCACTTGCGTCTTAGCATGTCTTGCCACAGCCTCCGCCATATTGCACACGCCCCGCTGCTACTTATGACGAGTTGCAAGGATGTCACACGCACACCTCACTCACTCGCGCACGTTTCTCTGCTGCTACCCTGTGCTGTTCCCCTGTCCTCAACGTCGCTATGCATGGCATCAGATCCGCGGACAGCTGTCGGAGGTGTTCGGTGACTGTGGCAATGTGGTGGGCGTGCGCATCCCCACCGACCGCGAGACCGGTGGCATCAAGGGGTCAGTGCGCAACAAAATCGCTTTTAAAGCTTTTCACCTGGCCAGTTCATGAGTGGTGTGTTTGCTTCTGCTGTGTGCCTACTATCCCTCCTTTGCTCATGTGTGTTTCCCTGTCCTGGCCCCCTCCCTCTCCCTCTCCTCCCTCTCGGTTTCCCTCTCCCTCCCTGCAGTTTCGCGTTTGTGCAGTTTGATTCGGCAGAGGCGGTGGCCAAGGCGGGCGAGCTCAATGGCACGGACTGCGGAGGCCGCTCTCTTGTGGTTGATGCTTCTGCTGGTGGTGGTGGCGGCGGCGGTGGCAGGGGCGGCGGTGACAGGGGAGGGTTCAGGGGTCGGGGCGACCGAGGCGGTGGCTTCAGAGGCCGGGGCGGTGACAGGGGGGGAGGATTCCGGGGCAGGGGTGGTGACCGGGGAGGTGAGTCTGGGGAAAAGGGAGGGTTCTGGGGCAGGGCGTGGATGGGTGGCATGTGGCTTGGTGCATGAATGCTTTCTCTTGTCTGTTCACCCGCCATCATGATGCTGTGGTTATGTAGAATAGTGTGGTGTGATCTCACCTCGGTGTGCGCCTTCCTGTCTATCTCTGTTGTGTGTGTAGGTCGGGGTGGTCGTGGCCCGCCACGTGCCAAGATCAACCTTGCTGCCCCAGGCACAGGTACGTAATTTCTTCTTGCTGCTGCATCTGTTCACACACTGTTTCCTGGTTGCATTGTTGTACGCTGGGTATTCTTGCCGCCTTTTGCTATTCCAGTGTCCATGCCCTGGGATTTGGGTTTGTGTCACCTTGTAAAAGTTGCGCTCTCCTTTCCTCCTGTGCATGTTTTGCTGCAGGCAAGAAGACCACTTTTGATGACTGAGCTCCCTGCCGCCCTTGGTTCTAGCGGATGCCTCTTATTTGGGGATCGAGCTAGTGCTGCCCGCTGCCGTGTGCAGCATGGCATTCGAGACCCTGCTGCCTAAGCTCCACTGGCACTGTGCCTTTCCCCTTGCTGATTCCTGTGCTACAGCTCTAGTTTCTCTATAAAGTAGGTGTGGATGATCACTGGTTGACCTGCTTGTATTCTTGTAACCTTTTTAGTTGTCCTTTTTGAATGGATAAGTCTGCACTTTGTACCTGCACTTTGTGCTGCTTATGCCTCGCCCTGAGCTCGTGCCTTGCAAGGTGCACATCCTAAATCAGTTTCTGCTCTTGATTCGGGTCCTGGAAGTTTTGAGGAAATGTGGGCAAAATAAGGTAGGGTACTAAATGTTGAAGCTTCAAACAATTTGTTGGGCTGAAACGCCCTAGGATCTTTGTAGAGTTAAAGTTTGAGTAGATGTTGTAATAGCGGAAGCGTTGAATAAAGCTCTTGAACCACCTTGCGCTAGTATGTGAGGGCAAAGTAAGTTAATAAAAGCAAAGAGATACAAGAATATAAATAGATGAGTACAGAGAATATGAAGAGACATTATAACTAATTTTACTGTTGCGGTTCGATACAGTGCAACTCGGGCAACTGCTCAATGTCGAGTCAGTTGTTTGTCCTTGCTCTCGCGCTGCGTCAGGTCAAAGGTCGCTGCCCTTTGACTTTCCCGTAACCTCCGACGGTTACGTTAATGACAAAATGAGGAATGAATGTTCCATTGATGTTGGTTGGGGTACATATGACAAACCCTAACTTCTGTACCCCCTAAGACAAACTCACTACAGGCCACAACATTTGACACACCCCCATAGCCTAAGTGAGGGGTGTCTAGCAATAACAAAAAAAAAAAGAGTACGGTCACAAGACCAGTCCAAAAGAAAACAAAGCTCAGGGTGGATCACAACGTCACCACACACTCTGAGCACAAGCAACAGTGGCCACAAGGCCAGTCCAAGAGATCACAAGTATATATAGTAAATGTACAGACGAAGCAGGCAATAAACTCAAGTCTACGCATGACTAGAACCTGTGTCAACAAGGCCTAACTGCACACAACACCTCTGGTGGTCACAAGGCGGAAGCGCCTTGGTGAAGATGTCTGCAGTGTTGGCCTCGGACTCTACAAACTCGAAGCGAGCCTGTCCACGCCTCTGCAACTCTCGCAGAAGAAAGTACCTGACGTGAATGTGCTTCACTCTGCTCTCCAGTCGCGGCTCACGACAGAGGAGGATCGACGCCTTCTTGTCAGTAAACAAGGTCGGTGCAGAGCTCGGCCGCTCACCAAGGTCGGCGAGCAAGAAGGTCAACCACCGCAACTCCTGTGCCGCCATGGCACCAGCGTAAATCTCAGCCTCAGCTGTAGAGGTCGAGACAGAAGAGGAGCGCGTGGAGCGCCAGGAAACAGCTCCAGAACCCAGACTGAAACAGTACCCCTGAGTAGACCTGTGAGTCTCAGCGTCGTCAGCGTAAGAGGAGTCACAGTGACCAGTGAGTACGACAGACTGCTGCCCTCCAAGAACTAGCCCCACGCCTGATGTAGTCGCTAGGTACTTCGCCACCCTCACAGCTGCCGTCCAGTGAACAGGACGGTGTCTCCCTGGCGCAACAAAGCGCGCAAGGATGCTGAGAGGGAAGGCGAGGTCCGGGCGAGTACAAGTCATCAGGTACATGAGGCAACCCACAAGCTCTGCGTAGGGACCACTAGGCTCAAACGGCTCGTCAGGAAAGGGACCAGTGAGTCTGTGGTCAACAGCTAGAGGTGTGCGCTGTACGGTGGAGTGCTGAAGCCCGAACCGCTGAAGGACCTGCTGCACCATGTGTGACTGTGAGAGTGTAATGGTGCGAGCGGCTCTGTCCCTGGTGATCTGCAGGCCAAGGTAGTGGCGCAGCTCACCAAGATCAGTGCACGTGTGTCTCTTCTGCAGTTCGGACTTCACGTCTGCCAAAGCAACCCTGTCTGGAGTGGCGAAAACGAGGTCCTCGACATAAACCAGAACAAAGAACGGTGTGGAGCCACGACGAACGAACAGCGACGGGTCGGCAGAAGACGGCTGGAACCCAAGGTCAGAGAGGGTAGAACGCAGAGTGTCGTGCCACTCACGAGGGGCCTGGCGAAGACCGTAAACAGGTCGCCTCAGCCTCCACTGGGTCCCAGGAGGGAAGGTGCCAGTGAAGGCCGAGGGACGACGCAACCAGACCTCCTCGTGTAGGCTGCCCTGAAGGAAAGCAGTGGAGAAGTCGAGAGAGTGTAGCTCGTAGTCTCTCTGTGCTGCTACGTGTAGTAACACCCGAAGAGTGGTCATCTTCGGGGTAGGTGCGAAGGTCTGAAAGAAGTCAACTCCCTCGCGCTGACTGAAACCTCTAGCCACGTAGCGCGCCTTGAAGACCGGGGGAGATCCCGGTGGCCGCTTCACCCTGTAGATCCACATGCCGTCGACTACGTTCGCCCCAGGGGGGGGAACCTCATCGACGTAGGTGCCTGTGGATCTGTAGGAGGCCATCTCTGCGTCCATGGCAGCTCTCCACTGAGAGGCCCAAGGCCCTGACACTGCCTCAGCGTAAGTGCGAGGAGTCGGAATGTCAAGGGCGTCGGGGTCACCCTCAGGGGCGAGGAGCATGGCACAGAGATGAGGGGAAGCGGCCGCCAGGAACTCTAGCTCAAACTGCCTGTCCTCTAGGGCGTCACAGCCAAGGGCAGACACACCCCCGACGGCCAGAGGACTGGTAGGAGGAGCGGCCACAAGCGTGGTGGCGTAGTCAAGGCGGCGGGTAGAGGCAAAGTCAGTAACTGCGGCAGTAAGAGCGGACACAGAGGACACAGAGGCACGAGGGTGAGTAACAAGAGAGGCGAGAACACGAGAGAGAACAGGACGGTACGTGCGGTAGTAGTCAGTGACAGGAGTAGGGAGCGACACAGTGAGGGCCGACTCAGGAGGAGACGGAAGCACAGACTGAGACGGACGAGGTGGACTAGAAAGAAGGAAGGCAGTACGAAGGTCAGTGAAGGGAACAGGAGACGAGGGACGAGCACGAGGGGAGCGACGAGTAGCCCAAGAACGAGACGGAGGAGAAGAGGACAAGGGCGGAGAACTGGGGAAAACAGCGGGGGAGGAGTCAGGAGGAGGAAACGTGGGACCGTAGACAGGAGGAGAGGCGGAGGAGGGAGGAGAAGGGGAGGGGAGACCAAGGATCCGAAGACCCGAGACAGGAGGAGGAAGTGGATGCTGCTGCTGCGGCTGCGACTGCTGCTGCTGCGGACGCGGCTGCTGCTGGGACTGCTGCTCCTGCGGGTCCAGCTGCTGCTGCTGCTGCTGCTGCTCCTGCGGCTCCAGCTGCTGCTGCTGCTCCTCCAGCCGCTGTAACTCCCTCTCCTCTCTCTCCAACGCCAGCTGCTCGTCACGGGCACGGCGAACACGAGCCTGGTGCCTAGTCGGGTAGGGGTGGGGGGGTGGAGTAGTGTCCGAAGCAGCAGCAGCGTCAGCAGCTGGCTCCGGGGTCGGGGCTGCGTCAGCCCCAGCGCGGTGCTGCTTACCCTCCCTGCCCCTAACGGAGAATGGAGGAACGGGATCCCACAGGATCCTAACCTAGCTGATACCATGACAAAATGAGGAATGAATGTTCCATTCATGTTGGTTGGGGTACATATGACAAACCCTAACTTCTGTACCCCCTAAGACAAACCTCACTACAGGCTACAACATTTGACAGTTAACCTCGTTGGTTGACTTGCGCTGCTTCGACTTGAGCTGCTTCGTTTTGTGTCTTGAGTACTGACACGACAGAGGCGCTTAACTTATTTGTTCCCAACACTCCCCTTCGCTTCTGGAGTGTCACTGATGGTGACGTGGCTTTGTCCAGTCAGCAGCATGCAGTACTCGAACTTCTGTTTTCCAAGTTTCTTGGTCAAGTAGTCGGCTGCCATCTCGGACGTGGGACAGTAGGATAGATCGAGTTTCCCTTTCTCGATTTCGTCTTTCACGAAGAAGTATCGCAGGGCGATATGCTTCGTTCTGTTCGCGAATCCACTTTTGTTGGCGATGCGAATTGCGGATTGGTTGTCGCAGAACAAGGTGAAGTTGGGTAACTCGGCTAACTTTGCTTCTTCCAGCAGTTCGCGAAGGTAGAGTCCTTCCTTGGTGGCAGAGCAAAGGGCGATATATTCTGCTTCAGCTGAGGAGAGCGCAATTAGTTCCTGCTTGCTCGATTGCCAGGAAATAGGTCCGATAGGTTCTAGGCGATAGATGTAGCCAGTGCGAGAGCGTCTGTTATCTGAGTCGCCGGCGTGATCGGCATCGACATAGCCGATTAGTTTCGTCGGCGTAGTTGTGTCTTTGTAGTACGTCAGGCCGATCGTTGCGGTGCTCACGAAGTAGTGAAGAGCACGGTCGAGTTCTGCTAGGTGTTCTGCTTCGGGCCTCTTGAGATAGGTAGCGAGTTGGCTAGCGGAGTAGGACAGGTCTGGGCGGCAGGTGACGGATGCGAAGAGTAGACAGCCCAGTTTTCGCTGGTAGTCGCGTATTCCGGCGGTCTTAAGTAGGATGGAGCTTCCTTTGCCGTTTCCTGCCGTGTAGCGGTATGGCGTGTGGATAGTAGCAGGTATGAGTGCGAACCGTTTGGCGATGGTGTCGGCGTACTTCTCGGCGCTGAGATAGATCGCATTTTCTTCTTCGCGAATGTTGAGCCCGAGATACTGAGTGATAGTAGTGGAGACCGTGAGTGTGAGGTCCTTTTTCAGCTCCCCTTCGAACCAGGTAGCGATGTCGTCGGTAGAGCCGATGTAGAGTAGATCGTCGACGTAGACAATGAGCAGGATGTAGTTGGCGCCTTTGGTGAGTCGATACATGCCTTGATCGTGAGGTAGTTGACGGAATCCGATGCGGATGAGGCGGGTGTGTAGGTGCTGTTGCCACAGTCGTGGGGCCTGTTTGATACCGTAAAGCGATTTTAGTAGT